CGGTGGTACGGAGGTGCAGACTTTGCTACCTGGTACGGAAAGTCATGGAAGCGTACCTCTTGGGAGAATTGTATAAGCGTGGCATGTCAGTCACTTGATGGTTATAAATTGGAACTAAGTAGGGAGATTCTGGTACTAGCGCTAATGTGAGAGTTTATACCTGAAAGGCATTCTATCCCTTTGGTTGTGCACTGTGTGAGTTTGTTCCGGATTTCACGGCTGTACTTATGTGTCATGGATAGGGTTATTGTTGATCCTTGAAAGGTTATTAGCCCAGTATGGGATGATCAGGATCGGCTCGAGGTCCGTTAGTGGGTCTAATGTGAATGTGTTCTCTACATCAGGTCTAATGTGTTCATTCAGCATAGCGTTGCTTACGGAGTATTCTTCGGGTGTTGGGTGTTATTTTCGTCGTTAGCTATTCCATGTAATACTCTACTGTTCCATGTGGGTTGTGAGACAGCTTGATTATTCGAACATGTGTTTTGATCACGTGTAGCTTGTATGTTGTATGAGCAAGATGGCTCCCGAGATACAGATCGATTATTGCACCTTAGTCATGCTTGGGTTTTCGTAGCGTATTGCGCTATCCGTCTCCCTGGGTTGTATTATGAACCTGGTGTGTTTGTGATCGATATTCCGACATTTTGTAAGTATAAGCTTTTTGGCTTGATGGGTGCTTCTTTGTTAATTGTTATGTGTGGATCGGGTGGCAAGCTACCACGAATACATTATTTGGATCGGGTGGCATGCCGCCACAGATAAGTTGTGTGGATAGGGTTGCACGCCGCAACAGTGTCATATTTGGATCGGGTTGCACGCTGCAACAGTGAGATGTTGAGTATGGTTCCTTATATCCATTCTTGTGTATATTGTTTCTCATTCTCTGGGAAGGGTTCATAGCGTATGTTCAACCATTTTATTTGTTACGCTGGCTGGATAGTTCTTTTTCAGATTTCGTTCTTCCTTATTTGTTACGCTGTCATATTCAAGTTGTAGCTTATTGGCGGATTGATGGCGTCATATTCTTGGATAGTGTTTGAGGTGGCTTATTGCCTGAGCAACTTCTACTGGGTGAGATGAGGTTATTAAACCTGGGATCAGTCCGATCGGAGTATGTAAGGTATATTAAGGAGCAAATATCGTTACTAAGTTCAAAATGAGGTAATGGTTCTTGTCAGGAGGAGAGACTTCATAATTTGTTGATTCGGCAGGTGGTTATGAGCTTCTACTCATTTCTTCCGTCGTGGCAGTATTGCGAGAGTTGGAACAGGGTTTATATGTGTTATGAGGTGTATTGCAGGCACCGGATTTGTGAAATTGTAGCTATTGTGGTCGGAGGATGTTATTATGGTCAAACGACTTAGGTGGTGCAGGGTGTGATTTCAGGAGAGGAGCATAATCAAGTTTGGTAAAGCATGTGGTGATTGATGAGGTGTTCATATGTCAGAATCGGGTCTCATGGAGAACTCCGGATATTGGAATTTGGTTCTAAAACTTGTTATCTAAGGTTATAGGGATGATGTTCAGTCTATCTCGAGCTTATGTGCTCACATAGGTTGTGGTGGCATGGGTAGGTGTACGAGGTGTTAAATTGTGATTTTGGACAACTACGTAGCAGTCCTTGGCACGTTCCACGATAAACTTATGTTTGAGTGGGGGAGAATGTAAAGACCCGACTGGTCGTTTTGAGCACTAGCACGTCGTTCAGCAGTTTGAGGCCTCAGGTACCTTTACTTCATGTTTTATGACTTGTACGTGTGCCCGGAATTGAATTTCGGGAAGTTCGAAGTTGATTCGGATGGAAAATTCTAAATTCGGAAGCTTTAAGTTGGAAGAGTTGACTAAGGTTGACTTTTGAGTAAACGACCTCGGAATCAGGATTTGAAGGTTCCAATAGGTTTGTATGATGATTTCGGACTTGGGCGTATTTTCCAGTTGAGTATCGAGTAGCCCGGGAGCATTTCAGCGCCTATTATGGAAAGTTGGCATTTTGAAGGTTTTAGAATTTTCTAAGTTTGGTTTAAAGTGGACTTTGGTGTTATCGATGTCCGTTTGGGATTCTGAGCCTTGGAATAGGTTTGTATCGTGATTTGTGACTTGCACGCAAAATTTGGCGTCATTCCGGGATGTTTAAGTATAATTTGGACGCATTCAGTGAAGTTTAAGAGTTTGAAAGTTTAAAGGAAGGTTTCGATTGTCGATTCATAGTTTGGATGATATTTGATGTGATTTGAGACCTTGAGCAGGTCCGTGTTATATTATGGAACTGGTTGGTGTGATTGGACGGGGTTCCGGGGGCATCAGGTGTGTTCCGGAGTGGTTTCGGACCAAGTTGGGATGATTTGTTGTTGCTGGTTGCTGGTGTCTGGTTTTGTTCTTCGCGAACGCGAAGGAATTCACGCGTTCGTGAAGAAGGATTTTGAGGCTACTGGATTTTTGCTCATCGTGAACGCAACACAGAGGTCGTGAATGCGGAGGGGAAGCTGAGGCAACCTTCGTGAACGAGCCATGGAGGTCGCGAACGCGTAGAAGAAAAGGGGAGCTGGGCCTGGAGCAGCTAAGCCTTCGCGAACGTGGCTCTTGGACCGCGAACGCGAAGGGCAGGGGATCTGAGGGCTTCGCGAACGCGACGAGGAGTTCGTGAACGCGTAGAGGAAAATTGTGGAGGCTGTTGTTTTAGCCTTTGCGATCGCAAAGGATCTTCCGCGATCGCGATGAAGGACTGGCCTGGGCAGAATGATTATAAGTCGGGGGTTTTGCCCATTTCACTCATTTTTTACTTGGTAGGGCGACTTTTGGAGTTCTTGAAGAGGAGATTTTTGTCATCCATTTGTGAGGTAAGCCATCCGCACCAATTGTGAGTTAAATACATGAGTTATATACGGATTTATACATGAAAATTTATAGAAATTGTGAGGTTTTGAAAGAAACCTAGAATTTGGTATTTTTGGATTTTGACCATGAAATTGGACATGGAATTGGGAATAAATCATATATTTGAGTTCATAATGTCATGGGTAAAGTTTATCTTTGAAAATTTTTGAAATCCGGGCATGTCGGCCCAAGGTTTGACTTTATTGACTTTTCGAGCAAAGTTGAAAAATATTGTAAATTAATTAATTATGATGTCAGGATATATTTTTATTGGTTTCCATGATTGCTTGACTAGTTTGGATCGATGGGCATTTGGTTTGAGGTGTTAGAGAGGCTTTGGAACCAGCTATGGAACTTCGGAGCGAGGTAAGTCTCCTGTCTAACCTTGTGAGGGGAAAATTACCCCCTAGGTGATGTGATTGTTATGTGCTACTAGTTGTGGGTGCTACGTATGCACGAGGTGATGAGAGTGCGTATGTAGCTAAAGCGTGTTTATGTTCGGGTAGATAGGACTTTATTATGCAATATATATATATATATATATATATATATATATATATATATATATATATATATATATATATAAGGCCGAGTCTTATCACCTTGAGTTGTTGGTAAGTTATTTGTGAAACGGTAAGGGTTACATTCACTTTGTACTCATGTAGTGCATTGTAAGCACGTGTCTCATAATGCGATAAGTTCCTTCCTTTCTTGTGGAGCGGGCCGAACGCCTCGGCAGTATAATAGATGCATCTATGGTTCGTGCCGCTCGACCCTCGGCGGTGTACATATTATTCTAGATTGGGCCGTACGACCTCGGCATAATCGTGCGCTATATCGCTAGCAGTCAGATGGTTCACGAGATTATCCTTCCCCTGATGCCCGACACCTTATATGGTATTTCCATACCCGTTTGATATTGGCACTTGATATTTCTGAGCTGTTAAGGTAGAGTACGAGATTGAGAAATTGGTATCGTTAAAAGAAATTTTGGAAGATTGTGTTAGCTACATATTTACCTCACTTGTACTGTTGTGCTTCTTATCTGTTTATGATTACCATATTGATTTATTGTACCACTAGTAAGTGTCGATGTCGACCCTCATCACTACTTCTCCGGGGTTAGGCTAGATACTTACTGGTTACGCGTTGATTTACGTAATCATGTTGTACTTCTGCACTAAATGTGCAGGATCTAACATGTCTATTTAGGGATCATCTTGGCGCGTATGCACAGCTTTTGAGGAGACTTTATGTGAGATGCATTTCAGGCTACGCATCTCAGCCCACAGACTCTCCATCGTACTATTCACTTTGTCCTGTCTTATTTACATTTCAGACAAATATTTTATTATTATTGCACTCCTTAGTAAATGTTCATGCACTTGTGAACCCGGTTTTGGGATGTACTAGTTGATGCTTACGGTTCTGTATATGCCTCTGCCAAGAACTGCTCGAGCCAAATACCCATATCCGTGATAATTACTATTTAATTATTCTGTTCATAGTGTTCTTCAAAAATAGATATGTTTGTGTGCGCGCACGTGACTGAGTTAATCTCAGGCGTGTTTTGTTATAGCTTTGAACAATTTCTTTGCACATTTTCTTTCTACACCATTACAAATCCCTTTGGTTTTCTATTCCAGAGGGTACTTCAATTGAATTAAGCTTCATGGGTACGAGTTGGGTATGTAATACATGGTTCTCTCCGTGCAAGTTGGTAGGTACTGGTGTCAGCCACGCGTCGCAATCCATTTTGGGGCGTGACAGTACTATCATTTCTCAATACTTATATAGTGCATATTTGTAGTACTCAACTATGTTGCGGGAGCTCTCCAAAATGCTGCTGCACCCGTGTCATATTCTCCAAAAATATACTGCTTTTGGAAGATTTGACACACCCGGCGACATTTTCAGATTTAAAACGAAAGCTTATCTTTACTAGCACCAATACATTTCTGGAACTTTGCTTTTTCCTATTCCAATTTATCTTCATCCAAATTTTCTGGACTTCTACATTGTTATTTGTAACATTGGCAAATCGAGAAGACATTAACCAAACTTTAAGAGAATTAAAAAGTATCACTTTTTATGAAAATGATCGAATGCAATAACAATGCAAATGGAAACCAATTGGCAAACTGACTTGGAAAATACCATTTAGCTCAAGGTACAATCAGAGAATCCTACACAAGATAAAAATTTAGTTCCAGCAAAAAGCTCAATAACAGAGCTTCCAAAAGTAAATTATATTGCTTCTAATCAGTTTGCTTTGTTTTTTAATCACGAGCTCACAAGAAATAGGCATCAATCTTTCCATGTTACTTGGTTGATTTCTGCACGTTTTTCCAGTTTGAATATCGTCCTTCCAGCTCAAACCAAGACTCCAAATTGACCAATTGATTAAATTCTTCGAAAGTTGCCATCTTGTCGAGGTGGCCTCTAGTTGTTCCTTGGTCCTTCAATGTCTTGAGAACATCAAGCATTGCACGGGCAGAGGCATACAGAGTCGTCAATGGATGGACAATCAAATGGAAGCCCATCGCTCTCAGCTCTTCCGGTGTATGCAATGGTGTGACACCACCCTCTAGCATGTTACATACCCTGAACCCATCGGTCTGCTTTCCTATTTCTTTGAGCTCCTCGTCATCCCTTGGTGCCTCCACGAAGCTAGCATCAGCTCCAGCCTAGTTGTACAGTCAATGCCATGAGCAAGTGACAAGAAGAGTCAGATTCTGCTGCATACTGTTATTATTCCTCATGTTCACTTTTTCGCTTATTTTTAACCTCTCCAATAGACGGCCAATTTTTAATGGACTTTCCAAACCCAAATTCTAAAATTTACTGAATAAAGAGAGGAAATTCTTACCATGGATAGACTACAGATGCATGTGAAGTTGAGAGTCTAGGAGCAAATTTCAAGAATAGTTGTAGCAAACTATAGCATGTATATATTGTAAGCAAGATATATATTAATGTTTAAGAAAGTTCTTCCACTTCATCTCATGCATACTCCAAGTACCTAAACTACTCCAAAAAATATTACGCTCACTTCCACTTCATCCAACATTGGATTATACAGAGTTTCAAGATAATTTGTTATTGAGCAACAACTGACACTAGATTATCAAGTACTCCACTAGAAAGGAATTTAGTTGAATAGCTTCACTTCTACATCTCTCAAGAGATGTTGCAGTTGCTATTTGTTTTATTATTATCTGTTAGTTTGCCATGAGATATTTACTCCGAATGGTGAAAATTGAAACTGGTTGAAGATAAACCATGCCTGATTATGAATAAATAAAAAATCATAATTGTAAATAGCTGTAATGATTTAAGCCATCTCTTGGCCTAAAGCACTATAAAAAATAATGATATTAGTTAGCTTACATACATAAGTCCTTACATAGAGCGGAAATTATATTAAGTAACATTGCATCAGCATTTAAGCAATTATCAGCTGAAATTTAGAGATTTAACATATACGTATAGTTTATGTTGAAAAAATACGGAACAAGAGTTAGCAGCAAAAAAAAGAAAAGAAAAGAAGAGGAGATATAAGCACACACATATTTTGAAGGGTGTAGAAAGAATATGATAAGACAAGCTGAATTCCAAGATATGATTTAAGCAATTAGTAATTGTAACTTATTTTTTTCATTCTAATGTTTCCTATTAGCAAAGTAACTACATGTACCGCATACCTCCATATAAAGGTTAGCACGAGAAATGGCTTCTGAGAGACCATATTTTGCTGATGTTGCACGTGCATCAGTCCTTGCCACAAGAAAAAAGTCAGAATCACCAATAGCATCTCTTGCAGATGCTATTTTTGCAGCATGTTCCTCTGCAGGAATAACCTGAAAGAGACATCAAAGAACAGAGAAAGAGTTAGCAAGCCAGGTGGCATAAAAGACTACAACAAAAAACAAGCTCAGGAAAAAGAAATCAACGGACCTAACATATTTACAATTGTGTTATAGACATAGTAAATGAAAAAAGAAAACAAAGAAAACAAAGAAAAAGAGCAATAAGGATTGTGAAATAGAGAAGGATCTAGCATACCTGTTTCCCTCGCATGTGTCCTAGATGAAGAGACATAAAAGACGGACAGTAAGTTCCACGCTATTGAACCCAATATGTAAAATGTATTTTGTCAGCCCAAGCTAAATGAATCTCAAGCAGAACTCTTACCACACTTCTTTGGCCATGCTTGATCCTGGAATAACATGAACACAAGAATTAGTGTTTTAGAATATATGCACATCCTAAAATTTGAATTTTTCCTGCCAGTGAAATATCATACCTCTAAGAAACAGCCGGCAGCACCAGCAGCAATTAAATCCTTGATAGTTCTTTGAACATTGAGAGCATTGCCACCGCCTGTATCTGCAAGGTGAATAAAAGGAAACATAAAGGGCTTGGCATTCTTAAAAACCACATGAAGATCCAATTCTGATTGAATGGATCTACTGATATTAAGAGCTATGGAAATGCACATGCGAGGCTATTGAGCTGTATTCCGTCCTGCAAAACCTTTTGCATTTTAAAATTTCAAGAAAGATTTGTACTATCTCTTTTCACCTTTTTCACTTTGATTGAACTTGATCATTGAATGAAACTGAAATCTGTTCAGAATTAGTGAATCTAAAAGACAAATAATGGAAAAATCCCAAAATAGAGTGTCCTAAACCAAACAAAGACAGTTATGGAATGATGACATCCAATGCTGAAATAGTTAAAGAATTTAAAATCAGACAACAGAGACCCATCGGGTAGAATTACTGAATAAAATAGGGACTTCGACCAAGATGAGATGTTGTGGTTGAGTTCATATCTCATGCCACTGAGTGCATGGGAGAAAGGCCAATCTTTTTAATGCATATTTTTGGTTTAAAAAAAATCTTTAATTAAATCCATTAGCGCAAGGCTTAAATGGCGTGAATTGTATCTATCTAATATGCTAATGCTTATCAAGCAAAAGCCAAATAAATGATACCCGAAACCATTCCCAACATGTGCAATTTCTCTATCAGCAACTACACATTCCACTGCCACATTAAATTACTTGTTAAAACATAACAAGCTCAAAAAAGGAAAAATTATTAAACAGTTAAAGTGGAAGTAAACAGGGTATACCAGCATCAGCAATGATTGGAATCAATGGAGCAGCTGCACAAACTGACCTAGCCGTTTCTGCCATTTCAGGCGGTCTACAATATGATAAAACATATGCTCATAATTCGTCAATTAATTCCCCAACATTTCCAAATTAAGCTTCACATTACTCCACTAAACCATATAAAGTGAATTTTACTCAGGGACAATATAAAGTGATGGCTAATACGTAAAAATGGACTGACGTGAGCAAGCCAAAATCGGGTTTCCCAAGGAGAGCAGCGGAGGTTGCATAACCGGAGATAAAACCGGCACTGAACCCGGTTTTCTCAACAATGGAAGCCGAAAGAGAGTCGTAACAGCCCGGCATTAGCACTATCCCTTGCTCTTCAATCAGACGGTGGATGCGCGTTTGTGTTCTTATCGCCATTGTCGTCGTGGCCCTCCGATGGACTGATGACTTGCAATGCCAAGTGCGTGAGCTGAACGACGTCGTAGAAAATGTGAACTGCGAATGTAATGAAATAGTGTTTGATGTCATCATCGGCGGCATTTTCTGAGCTTATCAATTATCGGGTGGTGAAAATAACAATGTGGAGTAACAGAGGTTCTGGGTTTATATGTGAAAATGGGATGTGATTAAACGCGCCAGGTTAGAGCGTGGTATTTATTTTCTGTAGAGTAGCGCAATCGTTCTTTTATCTTCAGCACTAGTGTGACTACCCGCGGATAATTTTACAGATTATTAATTTTATAAAATTATGAACTAATATATTTTATTATTTTAATAAATATTAGTTTTTATTTTCTTATTTAATATAGTATGCAGAAATATGATAAATCTATACAAAATCAAATGATACACATTATATAGTAATTATTGTCCTTTATTTATTTTTTATTAAATTAGCAAGTACTTAGTATTATCTATTTACTAATGTGAATTTTATAATCTTGTCAATTGACTTAATATTTTGATACTACTTCTCTTTTAATATAACATGGATATATATTTTCTTACTCTAGAAATATTTTTATTGTTAAAACTTATGTTATGCTGTTCAAAATTCTCCAATTGTCTAAATTTATCAATAATATTTTTCAGAGTTATTTATTTATCTTTTACTTTTTAATTAATTCAAAATATAACTATCATAAAATTATCCTTATCCCCCTCTTTTCGATATTTTTTTCTACTATAATATTTGATTAATTTTCTCAATTTGGAAGTTACTGATAATTTAAATAATGTAATATTTCTTTTACTAAATTAAAATTTTAAATTCATCAAAATTATAAAGAGATAAGCCTTTTATTATTTGTATAAAAAACCTACCAATATTTTAAGAATTATTAAATTTTTGTTATATATATATAATATGCTTATCTTATGTATAGATATAGATTTGATGGACAGATTTTTTTAATTTGTGTTTTTTATTATTAAATATTTTATTTTATTATCTTATAAATATTTAAATTCAAAAACAATAATCAATAACTAAATAACTAATTATTAACTTTTTATGCCATGTGGCTTTTTTGTAGGCTGCCGCTTGACTTAAGGAGGGAGCTTATAATACTTCCATCTTTATCTTTAAAATTAGTTAAAATAGGAGTATTATTTTTATCTTTAAACTCAATTTTTTATTAAAAAATTTATTAAGTTAAGATAGGGCAGTAGGCCGTATCTTTGGAAAAATCTTATTTAGTATCTTCCCATTTAAATTTAAAAAAAAATATCTTACCTTTCAATTTAAATTAAATGTTATTATACATATTGTCCTAAATTACCAAATGACTTTATAATAGCTTGCCACTTGGCTTAACTACAATGTACACGTTATTCCTTTAATAGATATCAGTAGGTCGTATCTTTAGAAAAATCTTATTTGCTATCTTCCCATTTAAATTAAAAAAAATCGTACCTTTCAATTTAAATTAAATGTTATTATACATATTGTCCTAAATTGCCAAATGGCTTTATAATACCTTGCCACTTTGCTTAACCAGAATGCAAACGTTATTTCTTTAATAGATATATAGATTCAAATTATTTAATTTTAATTCAAAAATTTCTTATCTTTCAATTTAATATATTTATTACATTTATTTTACAGTGTAAAACTTGATTTGAAGTGAACTACTTAAGAAGAGACGTGGATTTGGATTAAAGATTACTTGCGTTAACTATTTTTCCTCCTTCTTTCCATTAATTATTAAAGGGAAGAAAGGTAAATCAAAATTTGAATTAATTTGTTTCCATTTTGATTTCATTAATTAATCATCTCTTTGTTCTAAGTTTGCCAAGTGGCTTCTTAAAAGCTATCCACTTGGCTTAATTACAATGCAAACTTTATTCCTTTAATATATATATATATGTAATTTGCAAATTTAGACCTTATTTAAAATAGAATACATATATATTACACCAATTACTACTATAGTTCGTTCAACTAACTATAATTTTAATTTGTTATAAAAACTGTGATGAGAATGAAAAATATCGATTTTCTTTACAAAGAAACCTCGTTAGACATTAGTTTTCTTTTTCAAACTCCAGAGGTGTTTTCCAATTTTTCTTAAGGAATGGTTGTATGAGTCCAAATTTGGACGATCACAGCCATTTGACAAAGGCAATGGAAGACGAGATCTTCGTAAGCGGGACGTCCTACGAGAGATGACAGATAGCGGATAGAGGACGGGCGACTATTGCAGCAGTGTAGGCCCAATTAGGGGTATTTTGGAATATTCCCACGAATATTCACTAGGGTATGTTCTCTAGGGTGCAGAAAGGGATTAGCCCTTATATATAGGGGAGGAGATACCTAGTAACGGGGGCTCTCGAGCTTTGGAGAACTATTCAATTGAAAGCAAAACTTGTAAACTCTCTCGGATATTGAAGATTATCCTTCTCATTGTACAATTATCGCCTTTTACATAAGGTCAACAACTACTTTCCATCGTGTTCATTACTTGCGTCTTAAGTTCTAGAGCTTATTATGCTTAGCTGAGATTTACCCCTTGTTGATACCCAATTTTTTCCTGTATACTTTAATATACAAAATATCTTCAAAATAGCCTGTATATGCATATATAAGTATGCCCCAAGGTTTTATTATTTTTCCTTAATTTTCAAAGATTTTTAAATCAATTTATTGCCCTACTTTATAAAAAAAAACCCAATAATTATCCCAAAAATTGTTATTTTGGTGATTCATTTATTGAATTCTCATATTTATGCTAAAATATAGCTAACATAATTTTTGCATATTTTCATAAACTTATTTAGTATTTTTAAAGCTAAATTGCATATAATTGCAATATTAGCCTCTTTTAAGGTTGAATTGTGTTTATAATTATAAAATTGACTCCAGTATTTTTCATTTGATAAGTATGTATTATTAATCATCTTTAATGCCTTTAATTAGTTTCCAAAAATTATTTTACTCTTTTTATAAAATTAAACAAGGAAAAAGTGGCTATTTAAATACTAGCCCCTTTTATTTCAACTGTAGCCCCAAATCAACCCCCAATTAAACCCAATTCTAAAACCCAATTACCCTGACCCAAATCCTAGTCTACCCGACCCACGACCCTTTTAAAATAACCCGTCCGGATCCCCATTCAATCCAGGCCGTCGATCAAATGATCAACGGCCACCCTTTAATCTTTCCTTTTTTTAATTTCCCATTACCCCCCAAACCCTAACCATTTCTCATCGGTAGCCGCTTTGAATCCCCCCTTCTCCCAATTATCTCTCAGAAACCCTAGCCGCCTCTCTCCACTTCCACCCCAAAATCGCCTGAATCCATGGCTTCCAAACCCATTAAAGGCCTATACCTGCCTCCTATGATTCCTACATGCTCGATTATTAGGGTTTCAAGATCAGGCTTTGAAGAAGCTTGGTCCAGACCTTGGTCTATTTCGGTGCTATGCTGTCTCCGGTCATCTTCGACCTTGCTCCGGCCAGCAATGGCTATTCAAGCCTGACTCTTGGCTCCTCCTGCTCAGATCAATGACTTTCCAAGCCTTTCTCACCATCCGGGTTCTTTTGAAACCCTAACCTTCGAGGTTTTTCTGTTTCTTTTAGATCCGTTGTAGATCTGTGTTTTCTCTAAGCTCCTAAATATTTTCTCATGGTTTCTTTCAAAACTCTACTTTCAGAACCTTTGTCTTTTCTGACTTAGGGTTTTTTTTGTTACTTTATTTCGAAGCTCTTCTGATTTTTAAACATGTCCACTGTGTTTCTTACGTTGTTCTTCTACTGTGTTTCTTATGTTGTTCTTCTACTGTGTTGCTCTTCTACTGTGTTGCTCTTCTGCTGTGTTTTTCATGTTGTTCTTCTACTAGATGCTTGTTAAAAGTTTTAGTCCTCTTTGAGACTTCTGAATTTATTTGCCTGATTTACTTGCTTTCATCTCTACACTCGATTGATGTGAAAACCCTAAATTTGGGGATTCATTCGAGTTTTGAGACTATTTGCTATGTGATTCGCTTGTTCTTCATCTCTGAACTTGTTTGGTTTCAGAGCCCTAATTTGTTTGAACCTATTCGAGTTTCTGAAAGTTGTTTCATCTACTGCTCGATTGAATTTCTGAATCTTTTGTTTCTCTATATGATTCTAACTTCCTGCTAAACTCTCTTTTACTTGACCCTTTGGCATGCTATTTGATACTTTCTCTTCTCTGTTACTGAGTAACTGAAATCGACCTATGTGACTACCTGTGTTGCTACTATATGATGTTCCTCTTTGTCCTAAATTCAGCCTTGCCTGCTTTATACTTATATACTCTTTTATATGCTGAGTTTCCCTCTAAAATGACCTTCAATTTGGGACTGATTTCAGACCTCCTTGTGTAAGTCTGATTTTTTCTTTCCTTGTTTTACTGATTTCCCTGATTTTTGGGTTGATTTGAGAACTTTCCCTTAGCCTTTCAATTCTCCTATTTTTGACTTGGTTTATTTATAATTTCAAATCCCTGACTCCTTGATTTACTATGTACTGGTTGGTTTATTCTGTTTCTTACCTTATTTGGTTAACCGTGTATTTCAAAGATTCTTCATTAATTCTTCCCTTAGTTAAACCCCTATGTATTTACCCCTAATTGCCTACCTTGCACAAGGTGCTTACTTGATTTTTTTCCTTAAAAGTTTTCTGCCCATTACCGTTTAAGTTTGAACTCCTTAATTAAAGGAAGCCCCTTGTACTGATTGATTTTAATTGGTACATAGTTTCATAATTACTACTAAACTATGATTCTTGCCTTATTTGCTACCTATTTTCAAACTATAAATACCCTGCTCTTTCATTAACACAAACACACACGAACGCTCTGAGTTCTTAAAAATCACTTACACTCAGAAACTTTTCTCTCCTGCTTTACTACTTCTGCTGTGGCCTGCCTTCAAGCCCTGCTACTTGCTTTTACTGTATTTTGCTCTTTGAACTGGTATGTCCTGATTTAGATTTTCAGCAATCACAAACAATGTGTTTACTTAATACTTTTACTTGCATGTCTGCCTACTGGTTGTGTTTAGTTCAGTGTTTACTTTATAGCATGCTATAATTTCCTCCTATTATGAATCCCAACCCCCTACCCCAATGTGTTTCATGCTAATGGTTTGTTTGAGACATGACAGTATTGAGTATTATTGTCTATGGCTCAAACTTGATTCCCCTGGAATCATAACCTCTATGTCACC